GTGGGGCCAGGACACTAGAAGCCCTCCCACTGTTGACCCCCCACCCCCAAGCACCAAGAATACAGAGCATCACCTGCCCCAGACTGAGAGTTCCTATCTATGCCTTGTGGCTAAGAGCCACTGATGGACCTCTGCTCCATAGAAGAACATCAGAGCAGCCAATGTTGGATCGGGTCAGTGGCCCATCCAGTCCAACACTCTGTCACACAGTGGCCAGAAATACCAGGTGCCATCAGGAGGTCCACCAGTGAGGCCAGGACATTAGAAGCCCTCCCACTGTTGCCAATGTTGGATCAGGCCAAAGGCCCATCCAGTCCAACACTCTGTATCCCACAGTGGCCAGAAATACCAGTGCCATCAGGAGGTCCACCAGTGGGGCCAGGACATTAGAAGCCCTCCCACTGTTGACCCCCCCCCCCAAGCACCAAGATGACAGAGCATCACTTGCCCCAGAGTCCCTATCTATACCTTGTGGCTAATAGCCACTGATGGACCTCTGCTCCATATGCTTATCTAATTCCCTTTTGAAGCCGTCCATGCTTGTAGCCGCCACCACTTCCTGTGGCAGTGAATTCCAAGTGTTAATCACTCTTTGGGTGAAGAAGGACTTCCTCTTATCCGTTCTAACCCGACCGCTCAGCAATTTCATGGAGTGCCCACAAGGAGTTCTTGTACTGTGAGAAAGGGAGAAAAGTACCTCTTTCTCGACCTGCTCTTTCCCATGCATAATCTTATAAACCTCGATCATGTCACCCCTCAGCCATCGTTTTCCCAGCTAAAGAGCCCCAAGCTGCAATTCTGGGTGGGGGATCCCCAGGTCTCACCCGGAGGTTGGCAACCCCACCTTTGGGCACCAGAAGTTTTCGCGCCGCGTGAAAATATCATCAAACCGGGTGGTTTTTACTGGGGAGGCTAATTTTATTTTATTGCTTTAGTACGTTTCTAGCCCGCCACCTCTGCAACAGGCAGCTGCAGCAGCTCTGAGCCCAGAAATAAATACAAGGCGCGCGTTGCGAAAGAAGGCTGCCTGAGACAGAAACCGAAAGAGCCATCGGAGCCGCGCCCTAAAAGGCTGCTGGGGGGGGGGGAGCCAAAAGCCCTCAGAGACAACAGTAGACTCGTGAGGAAGCCTATCCCCCCCGCAGCGAGACGCCTGCCCGCCCTCCTGGGTCCTTCCGCCCGCGGCGACACTTCCCCTCCCCGGGCCGGCGCAGACGCCGCCGCGCATTCGGAGGGCTTTTGACCCTCCGCGGCCCCCGCCGTGCAGACCGGAAGCGTTGCCATGGAGCCGCCCGGCGGGCCCGGAAGTGGCGGAGCCGTTAGAAAAAGTGGCGGCGGCGGCGGCGGCGGCTGTGTGCACGGGTGGTGGTGCGTGGGAACGTGGCTACACGCGGGTTCAGAGAGAGGAGAAGGAGGGATGCCGGTTATTGGGGAGGGGGGCAAGGCCCTGTCTTCGGGGGGGGGGTGTCCTCCTCCTCCTCGCCGCGCCCAGCCGGCGAAAAGGAACCCCGAGATTTGACGTCACGGCTCCGTTGACGTGTCGGTCTGTGCGGGACGTCACGGCCTCCCTGGCGGGGCCGGGGTCCGCGCTGCCTCATGGGAAACGCGCTGGAGGCCTCCCACCTTTTGCCCTAGGACCCCGCAAAGGCCCAGTGCGACTGTGTTTTAATGTTTCTTATGTTCAAATTGTTTAATTTTAATTGTATTTATTGTATGTTTTATGATGTTCCCCGCACTGAGCCCGCTTGTGGGATGGGCAGACTATACAAATCATCAAATAATTAAATAAATACACCCCCGGGGGGGGGGGCTTCTCTCGAGCCAGGAGATAGGCTCAGGTACGCTGCCTCTGCAGCTGGAGGCTCATCCAGCCTTATCATTCTTTTTGTGGCCTTCTTCACCACATCCCTTTTGTGTGGGTTTCGTCTTCCTGTTGGCCTGAACTCCCAGAATTACAACTCGTTTCCAGACTATGGAGATCAGTTTCCCGGAGAAAAGGCATGCTTTGGAGGGAGGACTTGGTGGCACTGTGCCCCCCCGATGTTCCCCCCCGCCCTCCCTGGGGGCCCCCCCCCCAAGAATCCCCCAACTTGGAGCTGGCCACCCTTGGCCCCAGTTCCACTTCCAGAAGGGCACAGGGTCAGTTCCTGCCACCAAAGGTCTCAGATGGGAGTGGTGGAGCTGGGGCACCAGTTTGCATCACAGGCACTTCTACATTAACAGCCTTTTTTACACCCCCCAGGATCTGGATGTAAAACTCCCGAATATCCAGCCAGCTCCTGTTGCTTAGATGGCGCTGCCCACCCTCTCCTCGCTCTGGATCAGCCGCAACAGGGCTCTGGAGAAGCAGATCGTACGCCACCGTGAGCAAGAGGCCCACTTCCGTCGGCAGTGGGAGCTCCACAGCCGCTATTTTAAAGAGTCGGGGGTGCACAGCCAGAAGCAGGATCAGTGGAGTTCGAGGCAGTCCTACCAGCAGAGGTAAGGGGGGTTTGATGGGCCTGAGTCACATGGAAGCTCTGTCACAGCTGCTACTTTCGGGCTGTTCTGCTATTGGTGAGATGGAGGAACCACTGTGTTGGGGGGGAGCAGTTCTTCTGTTGTTCCTGCAGATGCTGAAAGATGAGTCTTAGGATGCATTAACAGAACCATCGTGTCCAGATCATGGGAGGTGGTAGTTCCGCTGCATTCTGCTATGGTCAGGGCTCACCTGGAGTCCTGTGTCCAGTTTTGGACACCACATTTTAGGAAGGATGTTGACAAGCTCGAGCATGTCCAGAAGAGGGCAACCAGGATGGCGAGAGGGTTGGAATCCAAGTCTTATGAGGAGAGGCTGAAAGAGTCGGGTATGTTTAGCCTGGGAAAGAGAGGGCTTAGAGGGGACATGATTGCTATCTTCAAGTATCTGAAGGGCTGTCATATAGAAGATAGAGCGGATCTATTATCTCTTGCTCCGGATTGCAAGACTAGATCTAATGGGTGGAAATGACAAGGGGGTCGATACCAGCTAAATATCAGGAGAAACTTCCTGACTGTAAGAGTGGTTGAGCAGTGGAGCAGACTGCCTCGGGAGGTGGTGGATGCTCCTTCGCTGGATGTTTCCAAGCGGAGGCTGGACGACTATCTTTCGGGCATGTTGCAGGGCTATCTTTCGGCTGTGCTCCTGCAGAGTGCAGGGGTTGGACTAGATGACCTGCAAGGTCCCTTCCAACTCTAACATGATTCTATGAGTCTGAGCTGTCTCAGAAAGGAAACATTTACCCTGCTTAGATCCTGCCTTTCTTCTATCGTGGAAGGAGTCTTGTCCAGGCTTGGTCAGAGTCACTGGCTCCAGCCCTCCTGTCGTTCCCTGGGACAGGGCAACAGTATTAGCTACATGCTTTGAGGAAGCTGTAATGGACTGAGGAGGCCTAGGGCTCGCTCTCATCTCAGCCTAGAGAACAGAGTAGCTCAGGCCTGGCAGAGGGCCAAGCTGTTTTCTTCTTCTTAACCTTTTAAGATACCACCTGCTTTACCCACACATCTTCCCAGCAGCCCTGTAAGGTAGCTCAGGAATATACCCCTTGGGCAGTGGCGGGAAGAGCTCACAGTAGTAATTTCCCCGAGGCCATCCTGCAGCCTCAGCAGTGTCTGACTCATTTGAAACGCAGTTAAAACAGCAAAAACATAACAGAACTCAGAACTTCCAACTCCCTGAAAGAGACTCTGATTCTGGTGCACCTGGAGTGATGGGAGATCCACACCTACAAGCACCTCAGTGGGTGTCCAGGGTAGCCAAACACCTATGACAGGCCGCAGGGCACTCCTGGTCATTAACAGGAGCAGAGCACTCAGTGGCTTTTTGTTGTGGGACTGGTAGTTTTATACTCTTGCAAGCTGCCTCTTGAATTTCTCATTAAGTGTGTAGGGTGTGTAGGGGTATTAAACCGCTGATCAGAACCAGAGGCAGCACCTGAAAGAACAGGATGTTTCAAAAGCTAAACTTAGGAAAACGGCCATTCGCCTTGGCTGCGGCAGGGAGTGCCAGCTCCTTCCTTGGTTGGTGTCTCTTTGCCAGCATGACTGCTTATCACCGGGAGCGGCTGAAGGAAGAAAAGCAGATCAGCCTGGAGCAGAGGCGAGCACGACTCCAGAAACTGCTGTGTGAGGAACGCGAGATGCTGGCAGCAGAGCTGCGGGAGCTGAGGCTGAACAAGGATGCGTCCCTGAGTGAGATGAGGCAGAAGCACGAAGCGCTAAAGTCTGCCAGGGAGGAGCAAAGGAAACAGGTCGGTCTGGACTTGGTTTCAGTCAGGCAAGAAAGCCTGCCGGTTCCAACACCTGGGAACACTAATTGAGAGAACTGAAGCATTAATTGGGGTTCGGGATAATTATTCACTCCCCCCCCCCAGTAGTAAACACACTTTGGTGTCGTGGTGAAGTGCGCGGACTCTAATCTAGGAGAACCAGGTTTCATTCCCCACTCCTCCACATGCAGCTGCTGGATGACCTTGGGCAAGCCATAGTTCTGTCAGAGCTGTTCTGGGAAAAGAGCATTTCCTGTCAGAGCTCTCTCAGCCCCACCCACCTCACAGTCTGTTGTGGGGAGGGGAAGGGAGAGGAGTTTGTCAGCCGCTCTGAGACTCCCTTGGGTAGTGAAGGGCAAGGGGTATAGATCCAATCTCTTCTTAAGAAGTCTGTTGGGAGGTGATCTCTTGGCCATGGAAGCATCTGGCAACCATACTTGTCTTCTCACCCCTGTAATGTTCAGCTGCTCTGAATGCCAGCCATTTTTTGAAAGGGTCTCTCCATCAGTGAGAAGCTTGGCCTTGAATGTTTTCATCTGGAGTTGAAACGCGCTCTCTTAGCCATGCTCCATGTGGTCTTCCTGCCTCGTGCTTCCCCCCCCCCGCTTATCTTAAGAGTGCCTCCATCTGGGGTGGGGGGCAGGAAAGATCTCTTGCCAGGTGGCCCAGCGAGCCAGCTGCTGAAGCACTAGAGGATGCAACCTACGAGGTACTTCATAATATTGTGAATGCCATGCTCCCCCCCGCCCATTCCATTTATTATACATTTATTTCGTACATTTTAATTCTGCTTTTCCTCCAGGGAGCTTGTGGTGCACATAATTTCCCCTTCTCTTTTTTATCCTCACAACAACCCTGTGAGGTAGGTTAGGCTGAGAGAGTGTGACTGGCTCAAGGTCACCCAGCGAGCTTCTGGAACCTGGTATTCTTGGCCACTGTGTGACACAGAGTGTTGGACTGGATGGGCCACTGGCCTGATCCAACATTGGCCTCTCTGATGTTCTTAAGCTTCCATGGCCGGGTGGGGATTTAAGCCTAGTCCAAGTCTGACACGCCTTAAACCCTCCACCAAGTTGCCTCTCTACATTACAGAGAAAAGATTAGATGGTCTCTGGAGTCTCACGCAAAGAATTTGTGGGCGTGGTTCTGAGTTATCCTCTGCTACTATGCTGCCTTGCCCCCAACAGAGCCTAAGTTGTTTCAGGAAGGTTCTGTATTTCCACTTTGTTAACAGATTGCAGAAGATCTTCTGCATGAATGCTGGAAGAAGAACAGCGCAAAGCTCAGAGAGGTGAGAACCAGTCTGTCTGTCACAACCATTGTCTTCAGTCCCAAGGACTGTTGTGTGTCCCGTCCCCCCCCCCCGACCTCCTTTCTATTCAGACTCCACTTCAGAGCAGTCCCAAAGAGATGTGCTTTCTGACAAGGCATCTCTTGATTGGGTGAGGCCCGTTCTGGCATTTTCCTTTTGGCCACGCCCAGCTGCTTCACCCTTCTGCATGAGTTTCCCCCAGACCACGGCAGAAAGCAGCCCCCAGCAGGAACTGGCCCGCCCACCTTTTCTGTCACCCTCTCTTCAGGTTGAGTCTGAACTGCACAAGAAGCACGTGGTGGAGGCGTGGGGGGACCAGCTGACCCAAAAGCAACAGGTAGGCCACAACTCCTGCCAGAAGCCTTGGGCAGAACCCCCTAAGAGCAGCCTCCCCGGGGGTCCCCACTGTTGCCAACCTGTAGAGAGTCGCCAGGCTCTGAGGCTCCCCCCGTCCCTCTCTCAGACTGGAGAGGCAAGAGAGCAACGGACCGTGGGTGCGAGAGGCCTGACACTTCTGCTTGGTCCCACCCTAGCAAGACGCGACTGAGCGGGAAGAGAAGATCCACTTGGAAAATAAATACGAGAGAGCTCGGAGGGAAGCCCTGGAAAGGTTGAAGCAGGAAGAGGAGAGGAGGAAGCAGACAGAGAAGGCACAGGCTGAGTCCCTGCGGCAGCAGATGGAAGAGCTCAAGCGGCGGGAAGCAGAGGTCAGTCAGAGACTGGCTCCGGAGGTGCGCAGCAGCACGCTCTTTGGGCCACGCGGAACCAGAAGGGAGGAGGGCCCAACGCCCACTCCAGCCCAGGGTACCCGCTGCTCCAGCGATGGCCCTGTGCGTAAATGCCACAAGTTGTTTCTTGGAAATGGGAGCAAGGAGATGCTACAATGGCGGAGTCTGTGCTTTTGGAGGAGATCTGCTGGCTCCAGTTCCCGGTGCCCGGCTGCGTCCGAGGGCCCTCTGCCCGGGCGGAGCAGAGGCAAGGGGATCTGGGAGCCAGGGGACAGCCTCAGCTTGCAGGGAAAGGAGGGGGAGCGGTGCCTGAGACCAGGTTCTCTCTCCTTTCGTTAGGCAGCCAAGCTGAAGGAGGAGGAGGAGGGCCTGATGAAGCAGCAGTGGGAGCTGGAGGTGCTGGAGGAGCAGAGGAAGCAGACGGAGCAGAACAGGAAGAGGCTGGAACTCGGGTACAAGCCGGAGGGGACGCCTGTCTTGGGAAGGGCCACGCAGCCCCCTGTCCCTGCTCAGTGGTGACCCGGAGGGGTGTGATTTGCGAGGGAACGCAGGCACTTCCCCATTCAGTTGTCAAAAAGAAGTGGGTCAGTCCTGCGCTTTGTTTTCTGCAATTTCTAGCATGCCCGTTAGTCTGTTGTGGCTTCTCAGTGGGGGAAGACACTTTGCACATGTTCAGAGGACTTCATATTCCCTTCGTTCCATGGCTGAGCCCTGGGACTGAAATACGAGTTCCAGAGTGTGGCTCTGCTGCCGTTGCCGCCGCCACCTCTGGCCCCAAGGGGGAATGACTAGCCCTGGGCTCTCTCTCCCTCTCCTTCCCCAGGCGCTTCCTGAAGCACCAGTATCGAGCCCAGCTGAAGAGGAGAGCTCAGCAGGTCCAGGAAGAGCTGGTAAGCACCACCGCTCTCTGAGAAGGGACGGGAGGTGAGGCACTTGGGGGGGGGGCTGAAGGTCAGCCGGTTGCCTGGCCCTCCAGGGGAGGCTGTGGAGCAGCATCACTCTGCCCATGGTCAGAGGCACTCTCAGCCTCAGCCTGCCCAGTGCATTTGCAAAGCTAACCGTGGTGTGCCGGTGGGGGGGAGTGGGAGCTGCCTTTCCGAGCCACACCCTGCGGTCTGCACTGGGCCTCTTCTGTCCCGCAGCCCTTGAGGCCGGATGCTCTTCTTCTGCAGTAGCCGAAGGAGGCCTGCCCAAGGCTGAAGGCCTGGCAGCCAGTCAGTCACCTGCTCTGTGTGGCGCAGGGAGACCCACAAGGCGCGAGGGCAGGAGCCGGCCGCTCCCCTTGGCCGTCTGTCGCCCCACACTGGCTGTCTCCAAAGCACAGCCCGCCGGATGGCCCAGACGCTCAAGAGGTGCTCTGCCACGGAAGGTCGTTTCAGGGGGTAGCGGTGTCAGTCCGCAGTAGAACAGATAGATCTGAATCCGGTAGCACCCGAGAGACCGAGAAGGTTTCCACGGCGTAAGTGCTCAAGAGTCGCTCTCCCGTCACCTGCCACTGCCCTGGTCCTACTTAGAGAGAGCAGAGGCCACAATGGGCGGGGGCGAGGGAAGTGGGCCACGCCTCCCGCCGAGGAGCCCCTCCGGGTCAGACGCTTCCACAGGGCCTCTCCCCTCCAGGAGGAGGACAGGCAGATCCTCCTCGCACTGGCAGCTGAGGAGGACAAGGACCGGAGCCTGCAGACCGCCCGCCGGGAGCAAGCCGTTGCTGCCGCCGCCTGGATGAAGGAGGTGATTGAGGAGCAGTTGCAGCTGGAGAGGGAGCGCGAGGCGGAGCTGGACACCATCTTCAGGTGAGGCAGGAGAGGACGATGGGCTGCAGCAAAACGCTGGGTCATAGTCGGGCACGAGACTGGTCCACTGCCCCCTCTCGCATCCAGCCAGCTGCGGCTAGAGCCAAGCTTGCTGGCAGTGGAGGGGCTCCTGGCCAGTGTTCCCTCTAAGCTGAGTTAGTGTGAGCTAGCTCACCATTTTTTAGCCTCTGGCTCACACATTTTTGTCTTCGCTCAGGGAGGATGGGCTCCAGAGCAAACTAATTTATGAAGTAGCCAAATCCCTCGCTCACAACTTTAATGTCAGTAGCTCACAAAGTAGAATTTTTGCTCACAAGACTCCACAGCGTAGAGGGAACATTGCGAGTCCTGGCGTGAGAAAGAGAGAGCAGCACCGCTCTCACTGCACTTGGAAGGTTGCAGAACCAAGCCAAGCCATCCTATCTCGAGAGAGGAAGGAGAGAGGTGGGACCAAGTAGTCCTGTAGCTCAAACCCCCCCCCCCACACACACGAGGGGCTTCTCCAGGAAGTCATTCTAGCAGCAGGCAGGTGTGCTAGACCGCCTTTCCCCATGTACACCCCCAAGAGCATTATGCTCCGTGGACCGGCATCTCCTGGTTGTCCCTGGCCCGAAGGACGTCCGTCTTGCCTCGACCAGGACTTTTCCTGCCTGGTGGGACGTGCTCCCAGTCGAGATTAGGGCCCTGCAGGACCCTCTTCAATTCCGCAGGGCCTGCAAGACGAAGCTGTCCCTCCAGGGCTTTTGGCTGGGGCAGCGGGCGTCCCTCTACGGCCTCCCTGAGGTGCTTGCCACCCACCCACCTACCCACCCAAATCACATGCCAGGAAACCTCCCACAACCAGCTGACTTGGCAGAATTGACGCTGTGTTTTAATGTCTATTATTGTCTAAATTGTTTAATCTTAATTGTATTTATTGCCTTGTTTTATGATGTTCCCCGCCCTGAGCCCACAAATACAAATAATAAGTGAGGTGTGCCAGAGCCCCTGAAGAACCTGCTGCAGTGCCCGGGGACATCCCTTTCTGGCTGGGTCCCCCATTGTGGCAGCACCAGAGGCGGCCAGGATCCGGCCTCTCTCCCAGCACAGGCCCACAAGAGCCCGGACCAGGCCGGCCCCCCGGGGATGGCTGCTGCCTGCTCTTTGGGCGTTCTGTGTCTTGTTTCCAGGCAGGAAGCCAGGCAAGTGTGGGAGAAGCGAGAGGAAGAGTGGGAGAAAGAGCGGATGGCCCGAGACAGGCTCATGGCTGAGGTGAGAGCTCTTTGCAAGGGGGCTCCCGGGCAAAGCAATGCGGTGATGGCCGACGGGAGTCCCAGCTGGTCCTCCTGTGTTCAACAAAGAGGGTCTTCTAGTAAACCGGAAAACAGGCTGACACACAGCGCTTAGGATGAAATGAAATACAATTTCTCCACTGCATTTAACAATGTTATTTTATAATAGCTAATAACACATCCACACTGTTACATATTGTCTTTCATATGCACACCCAAAGTACAGGGGGGAAAAGTGGGTTGACGAAACTCCCCGGAGTTGATTTTTGTTTCGTTCACAACTAGGCAAATTGATCTGTTTGTATGCCCGGGATAAGATTCTCCAGTAAAATGGATGAGGATACATTCTAGTATTTGAAATCATGGCATGGAATATCATGCGAAGACACTATGAATAGTAGATTTTCAAGAGAGACTACCACGGAGCTTCAGTATATTCGGATGAAGTTGTGAACGAAACGAAAATCAACTCCAGGGAGTTTAGTCAACCAACTTTTCCCCTGTATTTTGGGTGTGCATATGAAAGACAGATGTGTTATCAGCTGTTATAAAATAACATTGTTAAATACATAAATACAGTGGAGAAATTGTATTTCATTTCATCCTAAGCGCTGAGTGTCAGCCTGTTTTCCGGTTCACTAGTGGTCTTGGGCTGTTACCATTTATATTACTGTGAAACAAACAGGTCTTGGCAGAGAGACAGCAGCAGATCCAGGAGAAGATGGAGTGGAACAGGCGGGCCCAGGAGGAATCTGTCAGGTACCGGGAACAGCTGATCCAGGAGCTCGAAGAGGCAAAGCAGCTGACGCGGCGGGAGAAGGAAGAGGAGGCTGAGCTGAGAACCGCCCGCAAGCGAGAGCTGGAGGCCCAGGTGGGAGAGGGGGCAGGGCAACAAGGTCCCCTGCTGCTGGGCACGGACCACCTGGCTGGTGGCGGTGGCGGCAGCCTGGGGGATGTGCAGAAAGGGGAGAGCAGTCCGGAATGATGACACACACCCCCCTTTGGGGGGCCTGGCTCACAGATCGTTCTCGCCTAGAGCCAGAGGATGGGGATGGTTCTGCCCAGGGGTCATTGCATAGAAAAAGAGGTGCAGGAGCTCATTAGCATAACCTATTTGCATATGCCACACCCCCTGACACCACCGGAAGTGTGTCAGAAGGCAACACCCATCACTCAGGCTCCACTGGACTGTTTTGGATTGCTAGCTATTGGGGGGGGGGTGCAGATCTGCCCTCGCAGAGGAGGGAGAGCTCGTACCTGAATAAACCTTGGCCGTAAAGGTGCCACTGGACTCCTTTGGATTACTATCTGGAGGGTGGGCTCTGCAACTTACCTGGCTGCTTCTTCCTCCTTGAGGCCCCGGGGCTGCTGGGAGCAGGGGGCGGGGCTTGTTGCATGTGCCCGCCCCCTGGGCTCTTTACTGCCAGAGTTCCGCTCCTGTGCGCTCCTGCAGGGAATGACCCCTGGTTCTGCCACTGCCGGGCTGCCCAGTTGTTAATGTCTCCTGTCGTTCTCTTCCCGGCTGTCTCCTTGACTGATCGGTCACAGCAGGACTGGGCTTCCTGGGTAACACAGAGCCCCTGAGGCAGAGCTGGGTGTCGAGGGGGCAGCACGAGTGATGGGCACAGTGGTGGGGCGGGGAAAAGCAAAGCCCTGGGGTCTTGGCAGCTGTGGTGGGACTTAGCAGAAACTGGTCCAAGAGAGGAAGGAGGAGAGAAAAGGAGCTGGGGGGGGAACAGTGGGGTGAGAGCTTGAAGAACAGAGGGAGCTGCTGGGGGGGGGGGGGGCCGCCAGAGCTCCTCCCTGCACCCTGTTCTAGCTCACAGAGCGCGCGCAGCAGGAGCAGGAGGAGCTGCAGAGCCAGCGGGAGGAAGAGGCAGCGGCGCGGTTGGAGGAGCAGCGGCAGGAAGAGCGTTTTTTTCAGCCCATGGCAGAAGAGGGCTACCGCAAGAAGGTGAGGCGGGCAGGGAGAGGAGGGGTTGTCCTGAGACGCAGGGGGGAGGAGGCAGCCGGAACGTCGCCCGGCAGTGCTAAAAGGACCCTTGATGCCCTTTCTCCTCTAGGTCTACAGTTATCCCAAGGCCGCCTGGACCTAAGGAGGCCCTGCAGGAGTCGGCATTCTGCATGCTGCTTGCCGGGGGGGACCTGGCCGACCCCTGCTGGAGAATGTCTGCTTGCGCATTCACAGTGAAGTCTGCACAGAGGGGCACTGGGGATACGGTGTGTGCGTGTCTCCAGTGAAACAGCTGGAAGGGCAGGCAGCCCTTGCTTCGAGCACTGGCTCGATCCCCTTGAGGGTCACCGGCGTTCACCCGCTACTCCTTGAGGCTCTTGGAAGGGCTGTGAGGGACTCGCTCAGGTCCCGGGCTCCTCTGGCCCCTCCTGGTCCTTCCATAGCCTGAGCCTTCCCAAGCAGGTGTGACGGAGCCCTTCCTAGCCGAGCTGGGGATCAGAGGTGAAAAGGCAATAAAGGTTCTTTATTTCGCTTTCGTTTCGCTGTGGCAAGTCTGAGCTTCCAGGCAGTGGTCCCGTGCGTGCTGTATGGAACTCCCCCTCCCCAGTGAAGAGTCTGAAGCCTCATGGACAGAAATGAGATGATTGTGCTGGAAACGGTGGGTGGAGGGATCATGCCAAAAGGCAAAGGGCCCCCCCCCCCAACCATCTACCGTAGTTTTTATTCTATGTATTTAAGAACACACGTCCCAGTTTGATTCCCACCTTCCGGCCTGCAGCCTCCTTTGCGCGGGCAAAAGGCCCCCTTCCCGCCCCAGCCCTCTCCAGCTGAGGGGGGCTCCCTTTGGGTCTGTAGAGAGTCTCTGCAGCTCAGAACGGACAGCAGTAGGTTTGGTGAGGCCGCCGCAACCCTGTCGTCCCAGGAGAAGGCAGGCTGCCCTGCCAAGGACAAAGCTGGATCCAGCTGCATCCTTTCAAGGCGGGTGGGGCAGGGACTCCGGCACTGTTGAGCAAGGCAGACGTGCCGGTGGTGCCGGCTGTGGGAGGTGGCGCAACCAGAGACACTGGGTGTCATTGTCTTACGCAAGCCGTCCTCAGTAGCGTGTCATCAGCTTGGGAAGGAAAGATGAGCTGTTTCGATGGACTGGAGCTGGGGAGGAGTTCGGGCTTTGTGTCATGCATTAAGAACATAAGAGAGAAGCCAGTGTTGGATCAGGCCAATGGCCCATCCAGTCCAACACTCTGTCTGTCTCACAGTGGCCAAAAACACCAGGTGCCCTCAGGAGGTCCAGCAGTGGGGCCAGGGCACTAGAAGCCCCTCCCACTGTTGCCCCCCCCCCAGCACCAAGAATACAGAGCATCTCTTGCCCCAGACCGAGAGTTCCCATCTATACCTTGTGGCTAATAGCCACTGATGGACCTCTGTTCCATATGCTTATCCAACTCCCTCTTATAAGAACATAAGAGAAGCCAATGTTGGATCAGGCCTGTGGCCCATCCAGTCCAACACTCTGTGTCACTCAGTGGCCAGAAATACCAGGGGCCATCAGGAGGTCCACCAGCAGAGGGGCCAGGACACCAGAAGCCCCCCTCCCCCCCACTGTGGGATGAAGGCAGCGAGGCTGAGGACCAGGTGGGTTCTGAGTCGCTCCTTCCTGCCCCTCAGGCCCTTTACATAAGAACATAAGAACATAAGAGATGCCAATGTTGGATCAGGCCAAAGGCCCATCCAGTCCAACACTCTGTATCCCACAGTGGCCAGAAATACCAGTGCCATCAGGAGGTCCACCAGTGGGGCCAGGACATTAGAAGCCCTCCCACTGTTGACCCCCCCCCCAAGCACCAAGATGACAGAGCATCACTTGCCCCAGAGTCCCTATCTATACCTTGTGGCTAATAGCCACTGATGGACCTCTGATGCTTTGACACTGAACAGCCTCCCTGAGCCTGCTCCAGTGGGGAGGGCGGAGTATAAACTGAATGAATAAATGAATAGACAAACATGGGACACGCAGCACGTCACCAAGCAAGGGAGCTGAGGGACAACGTGGGGATCCTGACTTCAGCCTCCTGACCCCTGTCGGCTGCCGAGATGAGCCCTGGAGCCGCCAGCAGCCAATTCATTCTGACGCTCAACTTTTCTCCGCAGCCCCCCACCATCCAGACATGGCTCCAAGGTGTGGCCCTCGCAAGGGGTAGCGTTAGCCGAGTCAGAAAAAAGGAACGCAAGCGAGGACGGTTCTACCTATTTTTTTTTCCTTTGAACCCAAAAATAGTACAATACTTTTAAAAAGGTAGTTAATTACAAGGTAACATCAGCAACCGACAATATTATGGCACTTTTAAAAAAATATAAATACCAACAGGTTAAAAACCACACACACGCACACACACACACACCCCCCTCAACAGCCTGTCGCGTGGCCTCCAATCGGGAGCTCCCTGCCCCCCCCCCCAGCACAGCCCCCCCCCTTCCTATGAGGCACGAGGAGGGCCAGTCAGCCCCCACCCTGAGTGCAGCTGTGGAGGGAGCACAGCCCATAATAGTCGCTGCCTCCACACAGGCTGCCCGGGCAGCCACGGCACAGTCTTCCCCTCGGTCCGGCAGGCTCTGCAGTGAGCCACAGCCGCCAATTACCCCCCCCCCCTCTTTCCTATTCCCATTCTCTTGCCCTCCAGCTGCCGCCAGTGGCTGGACCGGCACGCCACGTCCCCTCTGCATCCTCTCATGTCCTGAGCAAGGTTCCCTCTAAGCTGTGGAGTCTTGTAAGCAACAATCCTACTTTGTGGGCTCCTGGCCTTAAAGTTGTGAGCGAGCGATTTGGCTGCCGCATAAATTAGTCTGCTCTGGAGCCCTCCTTCCTGAGCTAAGACAAAAATGTGTGAGCCAGGGGCTAAAAAACTGTGAGCTCGCTCACACGAACTCAGCTTAGAGGGAACACTGGTCCTGAGAGCCACTTCAAGCCTCAGTCAGTCACCAAGAGTGGGAGGCAGAGAGATGGAGACACAATCCGTGCACACAGCATTTCCCATGAACCTCCCTTCCATGCCAGGAGGCAGCTCTGATGCTTCGCAGCCATGTGCGCGCGCACACACACACACAGTGTTCCCTCTAAGCGGAGTTAGTGAGAGCCAGCTCAGTTTTTTAGCCTCCGGCCCACACTTTTTTGTCTCTGCTGAGGAATGAGGGCTCCAGAACAAACGAATTTGTGCAGAAGCCCAATCGCTCACTCACAACTTTAATGCCAGGAGCTCAGAAAGTAGAATTTTTGCTTACAAGACTCCACAGCTTAGAGAGAGCATTGCGCGCACACACACCTCCTGGATTTCCCATCTCACGGGTCTTGGGTTTATCCTGATCAAAGTCTTTCCTTGGCCAGCGATTCAGTCACACAGCTGAGCTTCTGCCTGGGAATACAGAATCCCCCCCCCCCCGCACCAAATGACTGCTGCGAGGCTCGTGAGGGGAAAAGCAGGCTTTCTGCTGGGATGACCAACCCTAGCCAGGTTCCATTCCACGGGAAGTGTCACAGATGCCTTAGGCACAGCTCAGTGTCAAGAGCTTCACCGCGGAGAAGGGTGGAGGCATGGCAGACTTCGGCCTCTATCCCCAGCCGGGTTTAAGACCCACAGACCGCACCGGCAAGGCAGAGGACTCACAAGCCTTGATTTAAGTGGGACCAAGGAACCCACTTGCTCCTTCCGCCATTCCAGAGGGCCCTTCACTTTTATACCCATCATCTGAACATCCTCTACAGGCAACCCATCCACTGACCTTGGAGAGGTTCTCCAAGCATCTCCTGTAGCCCTTTCCGCCGGCAGCCACACCAGAGCTTTCCAAGGGAGCCTCAGCCTCCCCCACTGGCGCACACACAAAAATTCCTGTTGAGGGTTGATGTTTGCCGGCACCCACATCGTGGGCCCTGTGTTTTCCAGGATGCGTCATGCACAGAAGCACCACCAGGGCACATCCTGGAGAACTATCAAAGGCCTGAGGGCCCACGTCCTTTCGGGCCTGGGCGATTCACAGGTGTGCAGTCAGGTAGGCGGGCGGGCGGGCAGCCCCGTTGGCTACTAAAGATTCCTCCAGGCATTCACACAGCCACGCAGCTGGACTGTTTCTCCCGCAAGCTGCCTTCTCCACAAGGAACAAGATTTGGGGGGGATGGGAGGACAAAAGTGATTTCTTGCAGTGGACAGAGAGAAAGAGACACCTCTCACGGCCCACGGCCAAGTGCAGAAGGTCCACTTACAGTCAATTCGGCCTCCCAGAAGAATCAGCTGGCATACTGGCTGCACGCCAGATGGGAGAAATGGCTGCTGCCCATGTTTGAAGAGGACCAGCCAGGGTTTCTCCTGCATAAAAGGTGGTCTCGGGAGGCCAAGGAGACTGACTACAGGGGTGGGGGCAGAGGCTAGTGGGAGGAGCGGTTTCGTGATCGAGGGGTGTCCGGGTGCTGCACGACAGTCTCTGGGTGTCCAGCCTCTGGCGTGTGCGCCTGCGTTCAGAACTGGGGCCGAGAGTTCCAGATGCGACTCTCCCCCTGCTCCCCCACCGCAGCCTGCAAGAGCTGGCAGTGCAAAGACGGGGCTCGGAAAACACACACACACTCTCTCGCTACACTGGCAATACAGGCACAAAATAAGGCAGTGGGTTACATGAATCCTGGGAAATAACTGTTTAGAAAACATGCAAAAAAATAATACTGAAGTTCCTTTAGAAATGGTAACGCGCCACCCGAAGTATCCCTATGAAAGCGCGCTGGGTTCCCAAGCCACCTGTGGAGGCACCCTGGCTCGGTGGGCCCTGCTGCCTCCGGCGGCCTCAGTTGTTGTTCTCCTTGGTGGTGATGGTGACCAGCTGCTTGGCGGCCTTGGCAATGTCGTAGGCGCACTGGATCACCTGCTGGGTGACCAGCTGGATGTCGGCCGTCGGGCAGGACTCTGGCGGCAGCGTCTTCTTGCACTCAGAATGCAGGCGGTAGGCACTGGCGGTCAGCAGGCGCAGGGAGGGCCGCACCAGCTCCGATTTGGGTTTCTGGGGAAGACAGGGTAGGTGTTGGAGGGGTATGAATGCACGGGAGCGTGGCGCGTCCAACAGTTTCCCTGTAGTACTTTCAAGAGGGCCAATCTGGGATTTAAGTGTAAACCTAAAAGCACGGCCAGGGCACGCCTGCGATCATCCAGACACAAGTTTCCAGAAGTCCAGATCAGTTTCAGATCCTCGAGACAAAGATATTTAAGTGCACACCACGAGACACTGCTATGCAACATGGGGGAAAAGGCCCCAAATTGCACACGTCAGTAGCAGAGTTGTCTCCAAATGCAAACTGGCTGGGTTGAGCGTCTTCCGGGAGGGGAAGAAACTGGAGCCACTGACAGGCCCAGGAGGGATTTTTCCAAACTCGGTGGGAGGCAGGATTAAGATGAGGATTAAACTGCAAGGCTAAAAGGGCTGAACAGCAAGTACTCCCCCCGGGGAGGCAGGATTAGCAAGAGGTATCCACCTCCTCCAGTGGCTTAAGGAAGACAGAGGATGTCTACTTTTCTCCAGGACACACAGGTTGCCAAGGGCACCGGAGGATCTGCTTGGGAGATGGGATGGGGGAACTGACCTGTAAAGGGGGCCACGGCAGTGCAGAGGCAAGGAAGAGAGAAAGAAAAGGCAGTGCCGGAGGAAGTTTTGTTTCACTCAGGGATCCCTGAGTGGAACCTACTTATGGAAGGCCTTCGTATGCCACCCTTCCATGCCCTCAGGCTTCCCAGCGAGATCTCCCCCTGCACCATCTTTTCCCCTTCTCTTCCTTGATTCTGCTCAGGCCACGGGCAGCTCGTAAGAGCCCGGAGGGTGCAAGGCACCCACGGCAAAGGGGGAAGAGGAGGAGGAGGTGGTGGCGGTAAAGATACCCGGCCCCGCCTCAGCACACTTTTGCTCCAGTCCGAGGCCAGACAGGGAACTCGCTGCTCGCAGTGACAGCCAGTGGGCAACAGCACAGAGAAGCAGGAAGCGTCACGTCTGGTCCCAAGCCGGTGGCTTGTGGCTCCCAGAAAATTGGCACAGCAATGGCTGGGCTCCTATATACTTCAAACGAATTCGACTTTGCTAATTAACCAAAAGGGGGGGGGGAATCAGCCCGAAAAGGACTGAGCATATTTCGGGAGGCTCAGAATGTTGACAGTAGAGGGGTCAAAGGACAAGTCTGCCCAGAGGCCGCCTTCAGAGTGCCTGTGTGACCCTTTGCCACCCAACTTGCCTGTGTTTCCCTTTCCCAAGCTTCTCCCCCTCCCAAGCAGCCAGGCCAGCAGAACTGGGAGGCAGGGAATAACCCCCCACCCAGGCACCCTTTAGAGGGCAGGGGGTACTCACTTTCGCAAAGAGGTCGGCCATCTCCGTCACTGCCACGTGGATTCTTTCCGAGCAGGGTATGTAACTGTAGGGAGAAGCAGGAAGCAGGTCATTCAACTGTGGCAAGATGACGAACCCCCCCCACGAATGCCACAAAAAGGTGAAGTTAGTTGCACCCTAAAACAAGGGTGCCCACACAGCCAGGCCCTCCACACACTCCCAGGGCCACTGCAACACAAGGGGCAGACAAGCGTGCTTGCAAAAGCAGCAAGGCCAAGCATCAAAGGGAAAAGGGGGCTCTCCCGAGGGCTGGGGCTTCCGTAATTGATGGAGGACTTGTATCCCCAGAAGGTGCAAAAAATAAATAATGGAGGCCTCTTGGAAGTCACAAAGGAATATGCGAGTTTTGGCGTCACACAGAACCCTTCAAGTTCAGAAGAGATTCCATGATTCATAAGAACATAAGAAGCCAATGTTGTATCAGGCCAATGGCCCATCCAGTCCAACACTCTGTGTCACACAGGGGCCAAAAATACCAGGTGCCATCAGGAGGTCCAGCAGTGGGGCCAGGACACTAAAAGCCCTCCCACACTGTTGCCCCCCCCAAGCACCAAGAATACAGAGCATCCCTTGCCCCAGACTGAGAGTTCCTATCTATTCCTTGTGGCTGATAGCCACCAATGTGCTCCATATGCTTATCTAATTCCCTCTTGAAGCTGTCCATGATTGTGGCCGCCACCACCTCCTGTAGCAGGGAATTCCATGTGTTACTATTTAGGTGAAGAAGGACTTCCTTTTATCTGTTCTAACCCGACTGCTCAGTAATTTCATTGAGTGCCCATGAGTTCTTGTATGGTGAAAAAAGGACTTCTTTCTCGACCTGCTCTATGCCATGCATAATCTTGTAAACCTCGATCATGTCACCCCTCAGCCGTCGTTTCAGTCTGGCCAGAAGTTTGACTTTGCCTTCAGCAGTGTTGGAAGGGAGGTTTAAAGCAATCCCTTACCCCTTAAGGCTCTGTTCTTGCTCTCTGGGTGAAACTGACTTTATAGAACACATTTTTTGAAACTGTTCTAACTATACAAAGGTCCGGCCAGAAAGTATTAGCCCACTGCTAGAAAGATTTCCTGGGAGATCAAATAAAATCAAGCTTGATCATCTCCTGTCAGATAGAAACCACCAGACTACTCGACAGGCGGCTAAATTCTGTGCTCAGGTTTACAAGCATCGAAAATCCCTTTTGGCAGCATGACTTTGTAGTTAATTGGCATGATTTTGTATGTCTTTAAGACTTGATTTTATCTGAATTGCTGGTCGCTGGCTTTTGCGTTTCTCAATCAAACTGAGAAAAGCCCGTCAGACAGCCTGTGATTGTTTTGCCAGCCGCATGGGAGGAGCGAGGGATTAGCGGAGGAGAAGGCGAGGGTAGGAGTTCACTCCCTGAAGGTTTTCTTCCCAGATTTTGTCATTCTGAGCGGGCGAAGTCTTTCTCCTCCATCGCCCTTCATTGCAGAAAGAAAAGATTAGCCGTTTCAAGAGGGATGAGGCAATTCAGGGCGCAGCGCCCTTCGGGGCACAGGTGCCGATGCAAGACTAGGGGTATTGCAGAAGACACCAAAAACGAAACTTGGTGCTGAGAAGGGGTTCTGAGTCAGCCTGTCGGTCCCTGAGGAAAGCCTGAGCTCTATTATTATTTATTTATCATATGGCAGAGTCACACACAGGACGCATACAATAATATAACATAAAGGTTTTAACCTTTAAGGCCCTTTGTGGTCTACGACTGACATATCTGCGGGGCCGTCCTCTTCCAGTACGGCCCCCCAAAGAGTGTTGCGCTCAACAGATCAAAATCTTCTGGTGATCCCTGGCCCAAAAGAGATCTGCTTAGCCTCAACCAGAACCATTGCTAAATGAAGGAATTAAATTTCAACGCCATACACTATGACAAAGTTGTAAACGAAACGAGACTTGATATGCATAGTCCGTTTGTTAGTGTTGATGGCGTTATTATGAATGATTTTTGAGAGATTGAATTACTCCAAGTAAACTGAATATTGGACAAGAACCTAGTAGTCTGTGGATAATTTCCTGGGCATAGCCTCAACCAGACCCAAAGTCTTCTTGGCTTTTTGGTGCCGGCCGGGTGGAATACTATCCCAAGTGAGATCCGGGCCTGGCGAGAACTAATGCAGTTCCTCAGGGCCTGCAAAACGGAGATGTCCCACCAGGCCTATGGTTGAGGAGGCGGCAATTCCATCAGCACTGGCCTCCTGCTTTGCTGCTTTGTTTTGGCTGTCTCCCCGTTATAGCGCCATCTCAGCATCCACGGACACACCTGAACTATAATCTCTTCTGAGGGAAGATGCACCGAACTGCGCCGCCGTCTGACTGATTTAAATTGTGTATAAATCGTTGTTGTAAATTACGTTTTAATGATTCATTTATTTATTGTTTGAATATTCTTGTTGTTACTGGCTGTTACCCACCCTGAGCCCTGCTGTGCAGGGGAGGGCGGGCTGTAAGCCAAAGATGATAAATAAATAAAATACATAACCAAATAAATAAAATACGTAACCAAATTGATACAATGGGTATGCAGACTGATTGGGCGATCCCCCCATGTATTAATATCCAATTTTTCAATCCACTCAATTGCGGCTGAGGAGGGTTCATTTCAGAGAGCCCCATCGCATTGCCCTGGAAAGCACGGCGCTCACATTCCTGTGACAGATGGAAAATAGTTTTGACGGGCTGCACCGCAATCACACTGGGGGGTCCTGGTATTTTGCCAAATTTAAACAACAGGTCTGCACAACTGCCAATGTCTGTTCGTATTCTATTAGCCATCTTTATGTGGCAAGTCAAATCCTGCGGGCCTCTCATTGGTGTTTATCAGGTTATGGATATCGGGTGGAACCGACCGCATCCATGTTCGCAACCATTCATTCCCTAGACAAAATTCTGTGATTGCAGGATTTGTGCAGATCTTATTGCTGGGTGTCAGGATCTTCGTCTGGACAGGCCCACATGAGCCATGTCTTTGTGGATGGGCCATTCTCTGTTTTCAATAATCTTTCTATATTCACAGAGAAGAGCATCTTGTCTTCGGAGATGTGGGGGAGCGATGTGGCACAGCATGTGTAACCAATAGGTCGGAGTGGGTTTAATACATCCACTGATGGTTCTCACTGTTGTACTGAGTCTGATGTCAAGGATGTCAAGTTGGTGGACATGGGGGCTGTTGAGCCACACTGCAGCACCATATCCCGCAGTACTATACACCAACCCCAAAGCTGAGCATCTGTTATAATAGCAGACACACCCCAAGTTGTACCACATAAGTTCTTCAGACTGTTGTTTTGCATGCATATTTCCGCTGCTACATTGGTAAGATGGTGTTTGTAGTTCAAGTTCCTGTCCAGGGTAATGCCAAAGCACTTAGGGGTACGGTTATGTGTAATGGCACTCAACTTACACATAACCGTACCCCTAAGTGCTTTGCATTCTCCTTCTGCTGACGCCATAAATCAATCAGTCAGTAATTCTAGCAGAATTCCGACACCGTTCTTCCGCAGATGAGATCAGACACAGCCATTATGGCCACTCCTTTCTCTTCAGGGCAAGTCTCCTCTCTCTCGCGTCCTCTATCTTCACCAACTCCGATGGAGAATTTCGATCTAATGAGGGCAAGGTGCCAATCAGGCATGGAGCATTACTCTCCTTCCGGTGAATAAACTTTTCCTCCGTTACCCAACAGCATCCTCCTTGAGATCCCACTCTCCAGCGGGAAATATACAGTAAAGGCCGGCAGTCCCGCTTGCCACTCATAGTCCTACATTCACCATCAAACCGTTCAACCACCACTGAGAGCAGACACAGCCAACTGGCCACTCCCTCTCAATTGGGGCACACCGTCTTCATTTGCCTGCTTTCGTCCACCCAGGAGCGAACGCTCGACTGGGACCCTTCAGGAAGATCTGGTAAAACCACCTCTTTCTCGTCTCTCTGGCAGGTTGTGCTGGGGCATCCGGCATACGCCTCACCAGCTTTTGTCTTCTTGTAGTGCGTGTCATATCCGGTAGGGCAGGAAGCCCATTTTTCCTACCCAGCGCATTTCTGTCGAATTAACGACAGCACTGGTAGGGGGAGCAGCGAGTACACTATTAGCCAGCATTAGCTGCTGCCCGGCGGGGACTCTCTGTTCCATGTGGCTGATCTGAAGGTGCCTCTGTCTTTAACATCAAAATGAGATGCAAGCCATGTTCTTCAGCCCAGTCAACAAGTGCCTCACCATTCTTATCATTAACCGTGTATCTCCAATTTCCATGGTGGATGCTAAAGTCACCAGTGTCTACAGAAGGATGAGGGTAGGTTGACAGTGACATGTGCTGGCCATGAAATTGCAGGTTTGTAAACACTGACAACATGTACTTCCCCAACTTCTACGACGATTGTGTGGATGTCATTGTGGACATTGGTCAATACCGGCCTCACATTTTCAATGCTGCTTTGGGCGTAAGTCACTATGTAGTAGGTACGATGGTATGTGATGCCAATAACATTGTATCCCGCAATTTTCGCTCTGTGGAGGGAATGATTTTCATTCTCAATATGAATTTCTTGAACAAATCTATTTTAATGGCCAGTGAGATTCGTGACGTATTGGTGTTTAGGCTTGCTTATGTCCTCAATATTCACTAGGCAGGTTCGGATGCACTCTCCTATACCCTTTGTCAAGTAAGCCCTGAGAAGGACTGTTTGATTGGTTGATTGTTTCCATGTGTGTAGAGTAGCCAGGAGATCCTACAATTGTCTGGCAGCCAGAAGTTGTAGCTCTTTAGCGTTATCGAGGGTACACCACGAGGAGGGGAGCTCCGCAAGCCAGGTATGCCTGATGGGGTGAAGGGCAGGAGGTGAGCAGCAGACCCTCCAGCAAGGTCTGCAGCTCCAGTGTGCCTGACGCACAAATGGGGGGGGGGTGGTGGCACAATCTGTCCCAGCAAAGGAACCTGCCTTTGCAGACAGAGTCCAGGACAGCCTTCCAGAGAGAGGCTCCGAAGGGCGCTTCTGCAGCTGCTTTCCACTCAGTACGTGAGCCCTCTCCAGCCAGTGAGCGATTCGGGGAATTGCACGGACTCTTAACTTGTCCTGATGCTGTCTGAAGTTGGTATTTTTATTTGCGGATTTGACCATGAGCCACCCAAATTTTTAAATGCACACCAAATGGCTCTCCCTCCCTCTGCCTTCCTCAGCTTGAAGGCTGCCTGCATGAATTGATCTTGCAAGCAATATTATCGACTCTGAAGTATTACTATGCATTCATGAGAAGAAGAGAAGAAGAAGAGAAGAGATTGGATTTATACCCGGCCCTTCACTACCTAAAGGTGTCTCTGAGTGGCTTACAAACTCCTTTCCCTTCTCCTCCCCACAACAGACACCCTGTGAGGTGGATGGGGCTGAGAGAGCTCTGACAGAAACTGCTCTTTTTCAAGGAAAGCTCTTGTCAGAACTCTGGCTTGCCCAAGGTCACCCAGCCAGGTGCAAGTGCAGGAGTGGGGAATCAAACCTGGCTCTCCCAGATTAGAGCCCACGCACTTCACCACGACACCAAACTGGCTCTCTTGCCTTTGTTTCCCAACAACCCAGTGAGGCAGGCCAGGACTGTTTTACGGAGGGCACACTGAGGAGCAGAGGAGGGAGGAGCAGACGTGCCCGGGGCTAAGCCTGACCCATTTGCCTCTAAGTAATTCTCTGCTTTCTACAGCCCCTGACATTTATCTCAAAGACTGCCGGGAGCTGCCTTCTGCTCTCTGCCTCCAAAGGAGCTGAGTGTCTCATCTGGCATTTGAGAGGAGCGTGGCTGGACTCCTGCTGGCTTCTCTCCTCCCAACATGTGGCCAAAGAGCAGCCATCAGAATGCCTCTTTCCCCTGGGAAGCCTGCACTCCCGTCTCCGAGGACGGCTGCAAGGTCTGGTCCTGACATCACGGGCCCAAAAATCTGTTTAGGGACACACACACACAAAAAGGGGGGGGGGGACTTAACCCTGAAACCTGGGATCCAGGACCTAAAAAGGCAAGACAAACAGAATAGAGGTTTGCTTAAGGGACAATTTTTACTGAGGACGCTTTGGCTAAGCAATCATTGGAAGGCACTTCAGAAACTATTACCAGTGAAACACCACTTGGCCTGTGATTGCACCTTTGGAGGCCTCATTTAGACTTTTTATTGTGTGCCTCGTGGTTTCACTTTGGAACGATTCTTTTCCGGTCCATCTTGCATCTGTGCTGCATGATTGTATGACTGCATCGTATTATGATATGGAGCAGAGGTCCATCAGTGGCTATTAGCCACAAGGTATAGCTAGGGGCTCTGGGGCAAGTGATGCTCTGTCTTCTTGGTGCTTGGGGGGGGGGGGCAACAGTGGGGGGGCTTCTGGTGTCCTGACCCCACTGCTGGACCTCCTGATGGCACCTGGTATTTCTGGCCACTGTGTGACACAGAGTGTTGGACTGGATGGGCCTTTGGCCTGATCCAACATTGGCGTCTCTTATGTTCTTATGATATAAGCCAATATACTCCTCATTGTGTTTGACCTCTGAAGAAGACCTAGACAGGCCGAAACGCGTCAGGTCAAGTCCACTGGCCCCTGTGTGCTAGATTTTGGTATTTTTACAGGAGATGTAATTTTTATAATTTTTTTTAATTCTTTGATTTATAATTTTTTTAAATTCTTTGTTAATAAATACATGTATCTTTTTATACGATATACATTAAGTCTTTATTGTTGGCCCTCTGTTCCTTTTTAGGTTCTGGATCCCAAAAATCTGCTTCCCAGCCCTCTCTCTTTTTCTATTCTGTAAGAACCAGAGGTTCTGGTGAGCATAAAAAGTTTGCACTGTGTCTCGTGCCCATCTGGTGGGCTCTAAGAAAAGTATCCCATGGACTCTGGTCCACATTACAAAGTGGCTTTACGCCGAGTCTGATCACCGGTCCGTCTAGCGCCAGCCGGCTTCCTGCGACTGGCAGCTGCTCCCCAGGGTCTCGGGTCACAGAAGACCTTTAGCTGGAGATTGAATCTGGGACCTTCTGCAAGCAAAGCGGACATTCAGCCTCTGAGCTGTGACAGATGCAGGAGGGGGACGTCTTGAAAATCCAGACATGGGGATTTTGAAAAATATACAACGCTGGAAAAAGAAGCATTCCCCCAACTGGATGGGGAGGAGGGCGTGCTTGTGCTTATGAAGACCGTTCTGAAAAATGCAGCCCCTCCCCCACCTCCTGCACAGCCAAGAACCAAGCCCGGTGCTGCATACCAGGCCTTGCTGCTGCTCGTGAGAGTTTAGGAGAGGGTCACACCAAACCAACCTTTGCGAGTTAGTTTGCACACAAGACAGGGCTCCTCACCACCCTTGACCTCCACACCGTTTTCCCAAGTGTAAGCCACAGACAAGTCAGTAATCCAGAAGGTGCCAAGGTGTTGAACACAAGACAAGAAAACAAAGACACACGGTGGTGGTGGGGAGGGCATGGACGATTATGCAGGAAAGTTGCATGGATGCTTGGCTTGCATAAAACGGAGCTCCTGGAGCAAGGAGAGCATCACTGGCTAACGGGGGTGGGTGGCAGAGAGCCTGCAGGAGCCTGGACAGATGCTGTGCCAGATCAGAGGAAGGATGTGCCCTGTGAGAGCCAGTTTGGAGTAATGGTTAGGAGCACGGACTCTAATCGGGGAGAACCAGGTTTGATTCCCCACTCCTCCGCCACATGCAGCTGCTGGTGGGACATTGGGTCAATCACAAGTTCTGTCAGAGCTGTTCTCTCAAGAGCAGTCCTCGAAAGAGCTCTCTCAGGGTGTCTGTTGTGGGGAGGGGAAGGGAAAGGAGACTGTAACCTGCTCTGAGACTGCTTCGGGTACTGAAGGGCGGGGTATAAATCCAATCTCTTCTTCTGTGTTGAGGAAACTATCTCCTCCCCCCCTCAAGATACTCTAGATACTCATGGCTGAGAACTCTTTCTAGATACTCATGGCCAAGAACTCTGACAGCTTCTACCTGGCACTTCAGCTCCAAGCCTGTGGGCCTCACAGACACAAAATTCGTCCTCTGGATTTAGGGCTCTGTGTCAGCAAGCTGCCAATGTGTTTTCCTATTCTCTATGTATGCACTTGTCTGCTTTCACTTTCCCATGTATGCATGTTTATGCGCTTAATTGCCTAGTTGCAGGAACGTCCGTATCTCTCAAGGCCACAGGTGGTTGCCGGCGGGTAGTCGCTTGGGTGATCTCATGGTACTATCCATGAGAAGCAAATGTGTTATGATTATCTAGAAGCGTTGCTTCCCAGGCTCAATGGCGTGCGCGGGAAGTCCCGCAATTGGGCCTCAGCTTTTTGAATTTACTATCTATTGGGACCCATGGTCTTGCCTCATTCTGAACAGTGATCCTGTTATGCACCTATTGCTTCAAATAAAGTAAAACCTTTTCTACAAGCGTGTGCTTCGTTGATGCGATGGGAGTCTGACACTCTGCTACACAGTGGCGTCTGTTTGCCCATGACATTTTTATCCCTTAGGGAAGTATGTACGTCAGCCCTTAAACCCTCAACAGGAACCCTGTGAAGTAGGTTAGGAGGAAAGGGAGCGACTAGCCCCAATATCCTAACGACTGAGCGGGATTTGAACTGGGCCCTGGGGTGAGCTACACAAGGGCAGTCCCAGAAAAAAACACCTTGAGTTTGTGATAATGGGGGCATTGGAGGGAAAGAAAAGGCGAGAAGGCAAGCAGACCGTGTCTCTTTGGCTGATGCAAGGAACCAACGCTCCCTCTAAGCTGTGGAGTCTTGTGAGCAGAAGTTCTACTTTGTGAGCTACCGGCATTCAAGCTGCGAGCCAGCGATTTGCCTGCTGCGTAAATTAGTTTGGTCTGGAGCCACATCCTTCCTGGGCTAAGATGAAAACGTGTGAGCCGGAGGCTAAAAAACGGTGAGCTAGCCCACATTAACTCAGCTTAGAGGGAACGCTGGCAGGAACGATCGGTTTGAACAACTGAGGCAATGGGAAGGAAGACATCCTGAGGAGGAGGGGAGCCCATTGAAATGACGCAGGTCACCCAATCCCTGCCTGGGAGCGGAATATCCCAGAAGGCCTTGCATCCTTTCTTGCATAATCGCCCTGTGCTGGGGGTGGGGGGCACAACCAGAGAGAGAAAGAGAAAGAGGGCACTGTGCCTGGGAGGCAGGGACAGAGGCCAGAGTACCAGGAGATGGGGTCGGGCTGCCGGAGGGTCAGAGGCTGCAGGGAAGCTCGCTCGGCCCACGGAACCAGGGCACCAAAACAGCCCAGGCTGTGCCTGAGCTTGGGCACGCTGGCACGGCCTAACAGCCTGGTTGCCCACAGGAGAAAAACGAGAGAGAAAGGGGGGGAAAAAGATGAGAGAGGTCTTTTTCGGCATCCGAGACAGCAAAAACAGCCCGTGACGGCTAGGAAAGGGGAGGCTTTGGCAGAGCCGGGCGGCAGAGCAAGGGACGCGCAACCTGCGCTCGTGCCCATTACGACGTGCCTGCTGAAAAGGTCACCTCCTAGCCAATGCTCCCTCTAAGCTCTGGAGTCCCGTGAGCAAAAATTCTACTTTCTGAGCTACCGGCATTAAAGTTGTGAGCTGCATAAATTAGCTTGCTCTGGAGCCATCCTTCCTGAGCGAAGGCAAAAACGTGTGAGCTGGAGGCTAAAAATGTGTGAGCTGGCTCACACTGACTCAGCTTAGAGGGAACACTGGTCTCACCCAAGGCTCCCTCTCAGCTGTGGCGTCTTGTGAGCAAAAGTCCTACTTTGTGAGCTCCTGGCATTAAAGCCGTGAGTGAGCGATTTAGCTTGCTCTGGAGCCCTTCTTCCTGAGCTAAGGCAAAAAATGTGTGAGCCAGAGGCTAAAAAACCGTGAGCTGGCTCACACTAAGTCAGCTTAGAGGGAACACTGCTCCTAGCCCAGAGCTGCTTCTGCCCCTCCAAGTTCTGCCAAATTGGGGGGAATGCAGCCGAGGGCACAGGCTGTGCAGGGGAGACCAACAGCAATACAAGATGGGGCCACGGGGGTCTTGCAAGCAACTTATATAAGCAATCATATGAATAACAGGTTAAAATACACCGAAAAATAATTGGACTAGTATCGGTAAATTGTTTTTTATCTAGCTTTTGGTCACGGTGATTCCAGTTTTTCGATTTAGGTCTTCAGGAGAGACTGCAGAGGAAGAGACTGAAACTGTGGGGCCACAGCTGAGGCCAGGGGGACATGCATCCCCTTTGGCACCCGGGACCACACTGAGCATCACACCCAGCCCAGAGGAAGGGAAGAAGCCGAGGGCTGTCTGGAAGCGATGGCAGCCACCGAGGCTCGCTTTTTTAAGAAGGGGAAAACTGACCCGTGCGTGCAAGACTCCTCTGCGACGGGCTGGCAAGAGCAGCCTTCCCCATTGCCATGGCCCAGCAGCCTCCTGCTCGGCGACCTTTCCCATCACTCACCTGTCGTGCTTGTTCTCCTGTGCTGCCCGGAGAAGCTCCTGGATGTTCTTGGTGATCTGCTCTGTCTTCCGGATGACGTCCTCGGTGCTTGGCAGGCTGAGGCCGGCGTCGGAGTCCTTGCCCTCGGGGACGGGCCCCTCCCCCTGCCAGAGGGCGCTGCGCTGCCGGACCTTCCGGGAGGACCTGCCGAAAAACACACACAACTCTGTGCTACTGGATGCGGATCGCGCATCGCGGACGGGAAGACTACAGATCAGAGCCTGCTAGGGGTATGGAGACCCAGGAAAGAACTGGAAAAATTCAGAAACAGACCTGTTTCCAGCCCAAAGGTTTAGTGTTCTCTCTCTCTCTCCAGTTTGCCCATTAAAGAATTGGAAATCTGGGGGAGCACTGGGAACAAAAAAACACTCCAGTGACATTTTTCTCCGCTGGAATCAGCAAAATGATTTTAAGACAAGATTTTGCCATCCTGGATGTCTAGTAGGAAGGCTTCTATATAAGAAGTGACAGCATTAGACAACCACACCGGGGGGGGGGGACCCACAACAACTCACAGGATGGGGATACTCCACCCTCTGGTCCCACTTCCTCCCCTCTTTGGTGTAGTGGTTAAATTAAGCTCTAATCTGGGAGAACCAGGTTTGATTCCCCACTCCTCCACTTGCAGCTGCTGGATGACCTTGGGCAAGCCATAGTCCTATCAGAGCTTTCCTTGAAAAAGAGCCATTTCTGTCAGAGCTCTCTCGGCCCCACCTGCCTCACAGGGTGTCTGTTGTGGGGAGGGGAAGGGAAAGGAGTTTGTGAGCCGCTCTGAGACTCCAAGGGAAGGGCGGGGTATAAATCCAATCTCCTCTTCTCTTTCCCGCACTTGGCCCCTGCTTTCACTCCCTGCCGGTCCCAAAGCTCTTAACACTGCCCCACAGCTGATGCGGTGTCTGTGCAGCTGGCGCTTTCTCCTCCAACCCACCCCCATCGGCTGGTTTGAAGCATGCATTATACTCTTCCCATGCCTCCCCTGGGAGCAGAAAGCCCCTCCTGGCCACTCTCCCCTCTAAGCCCCTCTCCAGTGCTGCAGGCCAGCTCATGGCGGGTGGTTGTAGGAGAAAGCACCTCTCACCCAGACACCCCCATCAGCTGTGCGCTGGAAGGAGCAGGCTTGGAGTGACCCAGGAGTGGCGGGGGGGGACTCCCCCCATACTGCCTGTGGCGTCCTGCTTAATTGGGAGACTGTTTCTCCCTTAAACCACACTCTGTGTACATGGACTTAGTAGATTTTATGCTGCCACCAGGAATTCCAAATTCCAAATATCTCTCTTTTGGTAGAATGACCCAGTGTCTGGGTACTTCAGAGGACTATGTGGCCCTGAGGAAGGACTGTTCTGATTGCTGGGATAAGATTAAACAGATGATGATTTATTTATAAAAGAACAAAATAGGTTTCTGGGTATTTCTGAACTGTTTTTGAAGGAAGAAAATATAACTGACAGCCTGGCATCACACACAGTCTCTCATACACCAAAACTCAACTCTGACAGGCTTATCTCTCTTTCATATATATATAGCCACACAGGCTGATCTGTCTCTCATATATATAGCCACACAGGCTGAACTCTCTCTCATATATATAGCCACACAGGCTGAACTCTCATATATATAGCCACACAGGCTGAACTCTCTCTCATATATATAGCCACACAGGCTAAACTCTCTCTCATATATATAGCCACACAGGCTAAACTCTCTCTCATATATATATATATAGCCACACAGGCTAAACTCTCTCTCATATATATAGCCACACAGGCTGAACTCTCTCATATATATATATAGCCACACAGTCTAAACTCTCTTGCTCATATAGCCACACAGGCTGAACTTTCTCTCTCATAGCCACACAGGCTAAACTACACTCCAGCTGCTTCCTCTGTCATACAGACTCTCCCACACTCACCTCTTCATGAACAGTGAATCACCTCAGAGACACCCCTCCTCCCACATTCTCAGTCATCAGCCGATCACATCACACTTGTCTCCCCCTATCACTCTTCTTCTTTCATTACTGCAGTCACACTAAACATTTAAAGAAACACACACACCAACACATGAAATCATTACACTGCCCTTTCCTTTCTCCCCACCTTCCCTGCTGTAGCCCCCTCCTCTTCCTCGGCAGCCACAGTAATTGTTGCACAGGATGTCATTGCAAGGGCATTGCAAGGGCATTTTGTTTATCCTGGTTTTTTTTTAATCCAGGGGTTTTTTCCTCATATGTTTCTGCAATACCGGGGGGGGGGTGTCTCCTAAATTTGCAGGAAAACCCTTCCCCCCCCGTCTATACATGGGGGCAAGGGAGACGCAGTGCATCTTAAACTCAGAAGAGCTCAGTGAATGTTTGGGCTCCTGCTCCAGAGGAGAAGGATGGCTGTGTTTTCAGTTCAAGAGATAAGCGCCACTCAGGTCGCTTTGGGGCGGGAGGATCCTGGACTTCTCAGCATTCCCCATGCAAAAATCAAACGCCTTTGCTCGTGCAAGTCACTTCAGGCTGTTGTAGATTTTCCGGGTTGTATGGCCGTGGACTTGGCATTGTAGGACCTGATGTTTCGCCAGTAGCTGTGACTGGCATTCGCCAGTCACAGCTGCTGGCGAAACGTCAGGTCCTACAATGCCAAGACCACGGCCAGACAACCCGGAAAAATCTACAGCAGCTAATGAACTCCGGCCGTGGAAGCCTTCGACAGCATATTCACTTCAGGCTATTCATCCTGTAGTAAGTGCGCACTCACTCTGTACCAGCGGCAGGCAGGCAGGCTGGTTCATATGCGCCGGCAGGGATTAGTGACAAGCCCCAGACACTGTGAACAATCACTGGCCATTGCGGAAAGGGGACCCAGGAGCAGGTTCTGCGGACTGCCTGGCCACCCCCCCCCCCGTTCACCTGCCAAGGTGTGTGCAAGTCTTCACTCCTTTCCAGCCCCATCTGGTGTTTGTTCAGACCGACAGGAGAAACATACACGATTCCCGCTCACAAGTGTGCCTTCGCCACCCTGGCTGGCACTGCCGCCCATCTCCCATCCGATGCCGCTCACCCAGGAAGGCATTTGACGGGGCAAACGCACAAGCGGCTGGCAGAGAAAGGAGAGGCCAAGATACGCACCCCGTCTCATCCAGATCCAGCCCGGGGACGGTGTTGTCGTAGTCTCCCTCGGGCACACTGCTCTGCTTTTCCAGTTTGGAGGCCTGGAAGGGAATTGAGAGAAGGGGAGGCACAGTCAGATCCTGACCCCTCGACACCAACCGAAGGCAGGCAGGCAGGCAGGCAGAGCCCAAAAGCTGCCCTTTCCCCCGCATTCCCAGTCATTCCAGCCTGCCAGTGATGGCCTTCTGCTCAGCCAATGGGAGGACTTTAAAAGACGCCAGACCCTCCTGCTGTGGGGTCATTAAAAGACAGGCTCCCCGAGTTCTCCTCCAAGGCAGTGTGCATGGGGGGGGGGTGCCAGCCCAGCTAAACTACATCACTGTCTGGAGTCCCCATGAAACAAACTGGTTTGGGGCAGAGCGGAAGTCAGAGATGCGAACGGAAGTGAACTCCCTGCCAAGAACCTGCTTGTGTGAAGTGACTGCATCATTCTCCCTTGCAAATTCATGGCAGAACAGCGGACCCCCCAAGGCCTTCAGGCTCTGCCTCCACCACAGAAATGCCTCGCTGCATAAAATCCACCAAGGACTGTCTTCTTGATGGTCCCACGATCCTTCGCCTGCCGGCCCCCAGACGATGGCCTCCCGGCTTCCACTTTCTCCTCCCGCTCAGCCTCTCTCGCTTTGTTGGCTGCGCCTGCCTGGATGCCCCTGCCGGATCTGCTCTGACTTCACGGGGCCCCTTGCCAGCAGGGGAGTTGCAGCAGCAGCAGCAGCAATTGGCGCGACTGCTCCAGACGGCCATCTTCTGGGTCTCCCCTTCCAGGCCCATCTGGCACCTGCTCCCTTTCTGCTCGATTTCTCCCCCCACTCTTGCCTTTCTTCTGGGCTCTGCTGCTCCAGACAGCTGGAAGAGCTCCCCGCCTTTATCCCTTGAAGCCCTCCTCTCTACACCTTCAAGTCTCTGTCCAGTTCAGAGACACCCCCCCCCCCGAACAGCCACGCCAAGAAACAGCTATGGTATGGATGATTATCCGGAGATTATCTGGCAGCATTTTTGTGGCGAGCGAGGCTTGTTTTTTGGGCTGAGAGAACTTGTGACTGACCCAAGGTCACCCAGCTGGCTTCATGCGGAGGACTGGGGAACCGAACCCGGTTCTCCAGGTTAGAGTCCGCCACTCTTAGCCATGACACCGTGCTGGCTGTCCACAGCCACGCTGCCTTCTCCGCACGGGTCTGTCATTTCCGTCACTACCCTACGCTGTCAGCAGAGGTCAACGGAGCGCCACCAAACAGGCTCGCCCAGGTGGCTGCCTGCCCACAGAGGCATCGGCCGCAAGGACACGAGAGAACGGCCCCTCGCCCTCAGCACCCCATTTCCCACAGAGGCCAACCGGACACCCCTGGAAGCTTCCCTACGGCTGGATTTAGCTGTTTTAAGGATTGGTTGTATTCACTGGCTTTAATTGTTCACGCAATTCGGGAAGGGTGGGATATTAATGTAACGAATTTTTAAAAAATACAGTAAGAAGAAGAAGAGATTGGATTTACACCCTGCCCTTCACTCGGAGTCTCAGAGCGGCTCACAAACTCCTTTCCCTCCCCCTCCCCACAACAGACACCCTGTGAGGTAGGTGGGGCTGAGAGAGCTCTGACGGAAACTGCTCTTTTTCAAGGACAGCTCTTATCAGAACTGTGGCTTGCCCAAGGTCATCCAGTCAGGTGCAAGTGGAGGAGTGGGGAATCAAACCCGGTTCTCCCAGATTAGAGTTCGCACACTTAACCACTACACCAAACTGGCTCTACACTAAATATGGCTGCCCTGCAAGCCTCTGAACACGGAGGTTCCGCTGAGCCACCCTGACTGACACTGAGGGACCCCCTCCTCTGCCCCTTTGCCTAGCCCCCTTTTTAAAGCCACCCGTGCGAGTGGTTGTGGCTACAGACCCTGTGGCAGAAAGTTCCACAGTTTAACGATGCAGTGTCACGGTCAGAGTGGGTCAAAGGCGGAATCAGCTGTCTAGGGAGGTGGTGGTGAGCTCCCCTTCGCCGACAGCTTTCAAGAAGAGGCCGGACGGACACTTGTCAGAGATGCTCTAGGCTGGTCCTGCATTGGGCAGGGGGGGCTGGACTAGATGGCCTTGATGGCCCCTTCCAGCTCTTCCATGATCCTATGAAGCCATTCTGCCTGCTTGGCCCCTCTCCCCAGCCTCCCAAGTGCAGCAGCATGGAAGCCTCTTCCCAAGCAGTTGTGAGCCGCGGGAGAGCGGTGGCCGCCCCTTGGTCTCAGCCAGCGGCTGTGGGTCAGTCCAGAGAGTGCTTTTTGCAGATCAAGTGGCCGAGAGGCAGAGAGAGCGAGAGAGGAAGGCGTGTGCGCGCCATGGGTGCACGGATGCTCTCGGTGGCGGCTGTGGTGGGGAAGGGGGAGCAGGAAGTGAAGCAACCCTTGCAGTGCTGACAGAGAGAAGGCGCAGGAGGGGGCAGCCCCATGCAAGGGGTCTGGGGGGGGGCAGGGTGAGAGAGAGGCCACCAGAGGGGCAGCCGTGGCCACTCTGGGGAAGGAGTACTTAACCCTTTGTGTGCTTTCGTCTCTCGACCAGGAAAGCATGGAGGGGAAGGAGGGCATGGATGAAGAGCTGGTGGTCACCAACCCACTCCTCCCAATCTAAAAACAAGGGAGAGAGAGAGACACTCGGGGGGAAAAAAGACACCACACACACACACGACACACCCGCTCTCCGGACCCTGGGTGCCGAATGCAAAAGATGGAACCCCCGTCATTAAAACTGGAGAACTCCCACGAGACTGTGGACGGGCCCGGGAGGAAGAGGAACATGGGGGGAGACTCTGAACCCCCCGCCACACGCACTCTCAGCCGATCACAGCATCTTTAGGCGTGGCTTCGGGGGGAAACCTGGTGCTGGATCCCACAGGCCCAGGCTTCCTCTCGCAACAGACCGAGAGCCCTTGCACCGGACGGAAGAGCCATTGCTGGCAGAAAGGAGGTGGAGGCTTACGGTGCGCCAGTCACCTCTGACTACGGCCAGCCGTGCCCCCCCATCTCCTCTCCCCCCTTTGGCCCTGACCCTTCTCTAACAGACACGGGCCTATATGCAACAAAGAATGATCAAGGCGCATACGGAGCACCTGTCTCCTGCCACTGACCCACCTGTCCCCACACGCTCCAGGCGTAGGGGTAGAACTGTAAGCACTGTCCTCGCAGATACAGCCTTCTCCACCCCACCCTAGTCCTGACCAAGGCTCCCTCTAAGCTGTGGAGTCTTGTGAGCAGAAATTCTACTTTGTGAGCTCCTGGCGTTAAAAGATGTGAGCGAGCAATCGGGCTGCTGCATAGTTCAGTTTGCTCTCTGGAGCCATCCTTTCTGAGCTGAGGCCAAAATGTGTGAGCCGGAGACTAAAAAAACTGTGAGCTGGCTCACACTAACTCAGCTTAGAGGGAACACTGGTCCTGACCCCTTCAGTGGCTCCTGCTTGTGACTTTCCCATGGGGCTGCTGGACCTCATCAGCTGCTTTGTGCCTTGCTGGGCCGCTGGTTTCAGAGAGTGGCCCTGCTGGACTGCGGGGAGGACAGCCGGATTTGAGTCCAGTTGCACCTGAGCAGGGGTCATTTCGTAGAAAAAGAGGTGCAGGAGCTAATTAGCATAACGTATTTGCATATGCCACGCCCCCTGACATCACTGGGAGTGTGTCAGAAGGCAACACTCACTGCTCAGGCTCCACTGACCTGCTTTGGATTGCTACGCTGGTTTCCCGTGGGGGGGGGGGGGGAGGAGAGGAACGCGCAGATCTGTCCTCACAGAGGAGGGAGAGCTTGTATCTGAAGGCGGGATGGGGAGGGCTCTGCAACTTACCTGGCTGCTTCTTGCTCCTCGTGGCCCGACTGAGGGCTGCTGGGAGCAGGGGATGGGGCTTGTTGCATGTGCCCGCCCCCTGGGCTCCTTACTGCCGGAGCTCTGCTCCTGTGCGCCCCCGCAGGAAATGACCCCTGCACCTGAGATGTCAACAAGGTTTTCGGGGCAGGAGCTTTCAAGGTGAAGGGAGCCTGGACACGCCAGAAGGCTCACAGCCCCAAAACCTTGCTGGTCTCTACGATGCGGCGGCTTTTCAGCTTGCCGCTCTCAACAGGCCAGGCCGCCTCTATGGGGATCTCAGGAAGCAGCCGGAACAGCCCCACCTCTGCCTGCCTTCTCTCTTCTGCTGATCGACTCCACAGCAAGTGAATCTTGAGCCACATTTTTATTTTATTTCCTTTGTTTGTAGCCCGCATTTCTCACGGAGGCTGAAGGCGGATCACAGAATACAGAAAACAATTAACCAGACAGCACAGGACGTCCCAGCTTGGCTTTGGACTACGTTTCTGGTTAGTGATTTGGACTTGGCTCTGTGTTTCTGGCTCCTGACCCCGGCTTGGCTTTTTGGACTTTGCACGGTCTTCTTTGGTTCTGACCTTGCCCTGCTCTGGACTCCCTTTGACTGGCACCCCAAGCCCGTGACACCCCCTGGGCTGCCAACGGTTCACTGCCTGGCACTCTCTAGCCTTGCCGGCCACAACTTCTGGGCTGCATGCCGTCTTGCACCCAAGCATGAGTCTGACTCAGTCCCCCTTTTCCTGCCCTTGGCTGCACTCTGCCTCTGACATGTGCTTTTAATTGAAGACGGTCAGGTTAAAACAGGACAGAAGAAGACGATTGCTCAGCACCCTGCAGGGACGCCCTGGCCCCCAGACTTGGAGGCACACAGCCGCTCCCGCAGGCGGGAGGCTTAAGAGGACACGGAGACCTGCAGTGCCAGAGGGACTGGTGGCAGCCATCCACACTCAACACAGAGCTTTCAGGGTGGGGAGGGGGAGAAGAGGGGGGCGGGTGGGGCAACAGGGCACCCGTTTTACTTACATGGGGAGGGAAAGGGTGCAGCCGCGATGCAATGTGCTCTTCGGGGTACGAGACCTCGGCCAGGGGCAGGTAGGGCTTCTGGCCTGATCCCGTCTCGTACATCGACATGGGCCTGCTGCCACGTGCGGAGGGCCGGCGCTTCAAGGAGGAGTGGCCGCCGGGGTCTACGTATTCAGAGCCAGACTGCGTCTGGTAGGCACTGGTTGTGGCCTGCCTTCGGAGGGTCGAGTTCTCGCTCTGCAGGGTCTGAAGCTGGAATAAAACGTTTTATCCGAGTGGGGCCTCGGATCATCCTCACACCAAACGGTCATCAGCAAACTAAGGACTCGAGTGCTGCAGCTACTGGGGCATTTGTAATTTTTTTTTTTTTAAAAAAGACCCACATTTCTTAAGAATTTCCTTTTGCTCAGAACAGGCTGCATTCTCAGATCTGGAGCTTCAAGAGCCCAGTTTCAATTTTCACGCAGAGGGGTGGAGATCCAACCCGCTCCTGGAAGTCATCATGAAACAGTCCAGCCGTCTGCGCTGCACAGCTCCAGGACGGCTTGAGCCAGCACCCCTGGAAGGCAGCCGCTCCTCACACTGACGGCAGACTCAAGAGACAGGAGGGAAAGCGTCAAAACAGAAACATCACAGAAGAGAGATGAGGAAGTGTGACTGCAAAGCGGGAGAGCAGAAGCAGGCCAGGACGGAGCCTCAAGGAAGTCGAGTCAAAGGAGATTTCCTGCGACGCCCTCAAGGAAGCAAACGGGGACAACAGGCCGCGGAGTCTCCCGCATGCAGCCTCCTTCCGCATTCATCTTAGCTCAGCTCAAAAGAGACACGCTGAGGATGCCGCCCAACAGTGTTCCCTCTAAGCTGAGTTGGTGTGAGCTAGCTCACTGTTTTTTAGCCTCTAGCTCACACATTTTTGTCTTCGCTCAGGAAGGACGGCTCCAGAGCAAACTAATTTTTGCAGTAGCCAAATCGCTCGCTCACAGCTTTAATGCCAGTGGCTCACAAAATAGAATTTTTGCTCACAAGACTCCGCAGTTTAGAGGGAACATTGCTGCCCACCCTGACAGCTCCTGAGTTAAGACAGGTTGCTTACCTGTAACTGGTGATCTTCGAGTGGTCATCTGTGCATTCACACCCTTGGGAATATACTGCGCCTGCGCTGACCTTCTCGGTACCGGTAGCTAGCAAAAGGGATTTTCGCGCCTCTCCCAGGTCACGCGCCGGCTCCACTGCGCATGACCAAGGAGGGGCACGCAGATCCCGCCAGTTCCTTCTGACCGCCGCCCAACAGCCTTCAAAGAAACAAGATGAAGGGCCGAGAGCAGAGGGGAAGGAGGGCGGGTGGTGTGAATGCACAGATGACCACTCGAAGATCACCAGTTACAGGTAAGCAACCTGTCTATCTTCTTCGTGGTCTCTGTGCATCACACCCTTGGGAGAATAGCAAGCAATAACTCTTACCTGGAGGAGGGTCCGATTACAGGTAAGCAACCTGTCTATCTTCTTCGTGGTCTCTGTGCATCACACCCTTGGGAGAATAGCAAGCAATAACTCTTACCTGGAGGAGGGGCCGAGGCCCTACATCTGCGCCGTCTGCAATATAGACCGACCCAACGCCACACGACGAGAAGACCGGACATCAAGGGCATAATGCTTCACGAAGGTGAGCGGAGTAGCCCAAGTCGCAGCGTTGCAGATGTCCTCCAACGGCATACCTCGCAGGAAAGCTGTGGAAGTTGCTACCGCCCTCGTAGAATGGGCGCGAAGCTGACCTGGAAGAGGTTTCTTAGCCAAAGCGTAGCATAGCTTGATCACCTCCACAATCCATCTCGACAGCCTCTGGGAAGAGATCTTCTTCCCTTGGGAGGGCATACTGTGAGCAACAAACAAAGCTGGAGACTGGCGAAAAGACTTAGTCCTGCCCAAATAGAACAACAACGCTCTCTTAACATCCAGAGAATGCAATTTCCGTTCCTCTTCATTAGCAGGAGACGGGAAAAATGATGGCAGAACTACATCTGAACGTAAATGAAATTCCGAAACAACTTTCGGTAAAAAGGAGATGTCCAAAGACAATGAAACCCCATGTGGGGAAAAACTTAAGTATGGTGGATCACACCTCAGAGCAGACAATTCGCTGACCCGACGAGCAGAGGTAATGGCCACCAAAAACGCAGTCTTGAGTGACAGCAATTTTAGAGAGCAAGTGGCCAATGGCTCGAAAGGTTTTCCCATCAAAAAACGCAAAACTAAAGCCAAATCCCAGGCCGGGGTTGGAGGACGACGGGGAGGGTACAGGCGAATAAGGCCTTTACAAAACTGTTTTGTCTGAGGATGCGAGAAAACTGAAAACCCATCAACAGATGGATGAAAAGCTGACACCGCAGCTAAATACACTTTAACCGACGAAAAACTGAGACCCAAGTCCATTCTGGACAAAATAAATGCAAAAATAGACCTCAAATCCACTGGCGGAGGAGGTAGATTTGAGGAATTCAAATACTGCAGGAATAGATTCCACTTCCTTGTGTAGGAAGTCCGAGTAGACAGTTTACGACAGTTCAACAAGACATCATTGATACGAGCGTCCATCACTGAAAGCGTATTTCCCACAGAGTCAGCTTGAGACTCAGAGGATCGTAGTGAAGGACCTGGCCCTCCTGAGCCTGGAGGAGATCCAACTCCTGCGGCAGGTGTACAAAGGATCCCTTGGCTAACCTCAACAGTGTCGGGAACCAAACTTGCCGAGGCCACCAGGGGGCTACTAGAAGACAATGGGGCTTGTCGTGTTGTATTTTCACCAACACCCTGTGAAGCAGCGGAATCGGAGGAAATAGGTACAGAAAGTTGTGAGCCCACGATATCAACAGGCCGTCCCCCAGTGACAGAGGGTCCAACCCCGCTCTGGAACAAAACATGGGACACTTCTTGTTGAATCGAGTTGCAAAAACATCGATGTGGGGATGTCCCAGACGTTGAAAAAGAGGGAGGAGATACTTTGAATTCAGCTCCCAATCGTGGTCCGATGCTCCTCCTCTGCTCAGGAAATCTGCTTGCTGGTTCAAAGTTCCTGGCAGATGGGCAGCTTGGAGAGTGATATTCCGATGAAGGCACTCTTCCCATATGTCCATAGCTAGCCTGCAAAGGGATCTGGACACTGTCCCGCCCTGGCGATTGATATAAGCCATTGCAGTTGTATTGTCCGTAAATATTAACACAGCTTTCCCTGCAACCTGTTTGTGCAAGGATCTGAGGGCAAATTTTACGGCCAGCAGTTCCAGATAGTTGATGTGATGACGTTTCCAAAGGGGCTGCCATGGAGCACCCACACAAGTGTCGTCCGTATGAGCACCCCAACCCCACAGGGAGGCGTCTGTGGTGATCGACATCACGGGAACAATCGGTTGGAACGGTGCACCCGCCAGCAAATTGGTGTCCACGAGCCACCACTGCAGGGAGGTAAGGACCTGAGGAGGCACGACTAGTCGAAGACTTGGGGGGTGAAAGGAGGGGCGAAATTTCTTTAGAAACCAAAGCTGCAACGGACGCATGCGAAGGCGTGCACACTCGATCACAGAGGTGGTGGCTGCCATGAGACCCAGGATCCGCTGAACGTGGACTGCTGATGTCACATTGGATCGGAACAAACGTCGAATTTCCAGACGAATGGTATCTGCCCGTTGGCGAGGAAGGTAGGCCCGAGTGGCCAGGGAATCTATGACAGCTCCTATGAACTGCACGCGAGTTGCAGGTTGCAGCATGGATTTCTGCAAATTGACTAGAATTCCAAGGGAGGATAGGGTCGACAGTGTAATGGTGATGTGCTGAAGGAGACAGTCCTTTGAATCTGCCACCATTAACCAGTCGTCTATGTACGGAAAAATCTGAATGCCCTGAAGACGAAGGTGGGCGACGACAACCACCATTACCTTCGTGAAAACCCTGGGGGCGGTAGAGAGCCCGAAGGGGAGGGCTTTGAATTGATAATGGTCCTCTCCGACCGTGAATCTGAGGAATTTTCTGTGACGAGGATGGATGGAGACGTGAAAATAAGCGTCTTTGAGATCTAAAGTGACCATCCATGTCCCTGGAGGCAGGAGTGGTAAAATACTTTGCAAAGTGGTCATACGAAACTTTTTGTAAACAATGAATCGATTGAGAAATCTTAGATCCATAATTGGACGAAGTCCTCCGTCCTTCTTGGGGACCGTGAAATATCTGGAATAAATCCCGTGGCAACGATCTGCCGCCGGGACTATCTCTATAGCGTTTTTCAGTGACAGAGATCGTACTTCTTGCATCAGGACAGGTGACGTTGGAGTTCCGACGAAATGGGAAATTGTGGGGATTTGAGAAAACTCTATGAGATAGCCATCTCTTATTATAGAGTGAACCCATTTGTCTGTAGAAATGTCCAGCCATGCGTGAAGAAAGGGAGCGAGGCGAGTATGAGCAGTAAGGCTGAAGTCAAAGCCCCTGTTTGGGATTCTTGGGAAACTTCGACTTATAGGCACCCGATGATTGTCCTTTATTCTTAGGGGGAAAAGACCTTGACTGAGAAGAGGGAGGTCTTTGCCATTGATCCGTAGGCGATTTGTTGTACGGTTGTCTAGAAGACCAAGATTGTCTAGGCCATTGCTTGGTCTTAGGGTATTTAGTTGGGGGAGAGATTCCCAGACTTTTAGACGTCTTGATACTCTTATCCATTTCCTGTAATACCGTATCAGTGGTGGAACTAAACAGTCCAGAGCCTTCAAAAGGAAGGTCCTCCACCGACGATCTGGTATCATATGGCAATGAGGAGGAACGGAGCCAGGCATGTCTGCGTAGGGCTACGGAAGTTGCTAGAGTCTTGCTAGCAGATTCCAAGGAATGCTTGGCAGCACTAATTTGATGTCTAGCCAGTACCATCCCTTCATTTTGAAGCCTCTTAATCTGAGGCTGACATTCCTTTGGTACATGTGGAAGGAAGTCGTTTAAGCGTTTCCACAAATTGAACTGATAGCGGCCCATGCAGGCTGCATAATTTGCCGTTTTAATGCCCATTGCACCGACAGTGTAAAATTTTCTGCCCACCGAGTCCAACTTCTTTCCTTCCTTATCTGATGGCGTTGAGTGACTCGATTTTCCTTTCGTGGACGACGATACGACCAAAGAATTGGGTTTAGGATGCGTGTATAGAAACTCAGCCCCAGATTCTTGGATCTTGTACATGTGATCCAGACGTTTATTGGATACAGTAATGGAGGCTGGATGGGTCCAAAAGTCCTTAGTAGTTTGTAAGAGGACTTTTGTCATTGGAAGAGCCACAGAAGGCGAAGTGTTGGAATGCATAATGTCAAAAACATTGTCATCCACGAAACTGGCAACGAGAGTAGGAGTCATAGACAGGTCCAACGCCATACGTTGAACAAAGTCTCCATATGACTTAACATCCTCTGATGGAGAAATAGGCAGATCCGCTTCCACATCCTGTGGGGTGGATTGTATGTTCACGTCCTCTATATGTTCAGAGGAGTCGTCTGAATCGGAGGATACATTGGATGGTTCCGGGGATGATCCGGGTAATTCCGGTTGATGCGTTGTCGGCATGTTGACCGGGGGTGCAGCCGGGTCTGGTGGATGTATCGGCATGGACTGCTTCGATACCGAGGATCGATCCCGAAACTGCGAGATGCGGGATGACACCGATTGACGATCCCAGTCAGGTGGAGGTGGTGGAGGAAAAGCCCATGGGTATGGGTATCGGCTTCCATACAAGTAATGCCACTGTCTCTCATCCCAGGTTAAAGTAGGGGATGCCGGTCGGTGTCGATCATCGACTCCACGTTCCGGGGAAGCATGAGAGGATTGACGACTCGACATATCAGAATGCGACTGATTTGTCTGCTGAGTAAGGTCGATGTCGAGATCTGAACCAATCGGGTGATGAGGTTCTTGCGTGAGATCTCGACCTTGACTAGCTGAAACCTTATGGACTTTCGACTTGTCCGTTTTAGGTTTCTTCGACTGCTGTGAGTCTTTGCCCTGCTTCCGGATCTTGGAAGGTACGGGGTGGTCTTTTATCGGCGTCGATCGTTTCGGTGCCGAAGCATCGATTGCGACCGTCGACGTCGATGGTCCCGAAACGGGAGGACAAGTGTCCGCAGCCAGGGTGGACATCGAGGCGTGCCCGGACGTGTCCAACGGCGAAGACGACTGTGGAGATAGCGCCTTCTCCATCAAAGCCAAGTGCAGACGAGCTGCCCTGTTTTTTCTCGTTTGTTTCGAGAATTTCTGGCAATGTCCGCACTTAGAAACACAGTGCGACTCCCCTAAACAGACGAGGCAAAGCGAATGCCCGTCGGTGGGAGATATTTTAAGGCCGCAAGTCTTACACCGTTTGAAACAACCCCACCGCGGGGCCATAGGCCAGCGGAGGGGGAAACGTTAAAGACAAGGAACAAACACACCGAAGAAAAATGCTAACTACAAAAAACAAAATAAAGAAAAGGAAACTAACTAAACGCAAGTTTAGCAGGAAGTTAGGTACTTAACAGACCGAAGCAGAAGGCGTCCTACCAGCGCGGCGGTCAGAAAAGAACTGGCGGGATCTGCGTGCCCCTCCTTGGTCATGCGCAGTGGAGCCGGCGCGTGACCTGGGAGAGGCGCGAAAATCCCTTTTGCTAGCTACCGGTACCGAGAAGGTCAGCGCAGGCGCAGTATATTCCCAAGGGTGTGATGCACAGAGACCACGAAGAAGATCTAATAATTACGATAGAATTACTGCAAAACGTGCAAACATTATAGAATCCAATATAACATGCAGTCAAAATGTAATCAGTCCATTGTTTTAATCTCTTTTCAACAGTGAAGATGTCAAAGATGAAAAGTGAAGACGTCACTTTTCATCTTTGACGTCTTCACTGTTGAAAAGAGATTAAAACAATGGACTGATTACATTTTGACTGCATGTTATATTGGATTCTATGTTTGCACGTTTTGCAGTAATTCTATTGTAATTATTATTGTCATACTGCTACCCGCTCTATCTATTGTAGCTCCTGAGTTACTACAGGCATCTTCGAGAACTACCAACCGAAACACATAACCGCTTCAACCGTGACCTTGATGCAGGGAGCATGTAAGAGGTTACCGCTGCCACAGAAGTGGGGAACACCCCCAAGTCCTTGGGTGAGGGCCTTACCGAACGCTGCAGTCCCAGTCCCAGACCTTCCTCATCCTCCCGCCCACAACCTGGAGTGTCCTTCCCACCAGGGGTCCCCAACGTGGTGCCCGTGGGCGTGAGTGGTGCCCACCAAGTGTTTTTAGAAAGTGGGCAGGGCCAGGTGCTGCCCAGCAGGGCTTCTGATTGGCTGCGCAATTAAGAAACAACAACAGCTCCAGCAGCAGCGGCCACCCACAGGACAAAGGTCTTTCTTCAACATGTGACAGAAGGCAAGCTATTTGTAGGCAGGAAAATATTTTTAAGCAATGTGTTCCGTTTCAAAAGGGACGGTGAAGTTACTATTAGCGTCACGAGTGACCTCACTGCCTGACATTTCGTGGCTGGCTCCGCCTCCCGTGGCAGCCGTTTTGTGGGTTCAGCCACCATCGTGTCAGAATTCCCATCGTGCCTGCAGACTCAAAGGGGGCCCCCCCCCCCCCGCTCCACTGGGATTCACTAATGGTGGAAGCTCCCCCAAGCACAGGGATTCTTCCCCTGGTTTCCCTACTTCTGCCCCACGGGAAGGCGTCGTCTTCAGTGGAGCAGTTCTGTGGATCTCAGGATCCGGGGGGGGGTGGGGGGCTTTGTACAACTACCATGATGGGTCCTGACTGCACCACCTTCACATTTCTGCAGACCCACTGGGAGGATTATTGTGAGAGAGGTGGCACAGACCGGCTGGCGAGCAAGATGTTAGTGCAGAGCTTGTGTGTGTGTGTTCTCCTTGAAAGAGCCAACACACCTTCCTCCCCGCCCCACCCCCTGCTATTAGCAAGCCTCATGAGTCACACACACACATGAAAACCACGGCTGACAGCTGCTGGCTAAGCTGTCCTCCTGTGTACAGGGCCCTGCGCCCACAAAGCTTTTTATAGATGCCCTCGCAGGAAAGCAACCGAGGGGGCCGCAGCAGTGGTCCAATCTGCTCCTTGCTGGCCTTCTTTGCCCTTGCTCTTCGTGTTTTATGGGAAAAGAAAGACAGGGGGAACGCCAGAAATTTCATCCCAGTCTGCAAAGGGTGACTGACACGGAGGCAGGGACTTGCCCAAGACCAACAAGGAAGTCCCGGGCAGAGGAGGGCCTGGGGCTGAGGCCTCCCGGAGCCCAGGGGGACCCACTGAGGGGCTCTGGAGGGAAACCTCCCACACCCCGGTGGGGCAGCAAGCAGTTGCCTGGACTGACGGTGGCTGATTGGCAGGGGGGGACCGGTCCTGCAGGGAAGGCCAAGGACAGGGGAGTCGGTCGTGGCTTTTGGGGTGTCATACCCACGGGGGACAATCTCCTGCAGTGGCTCACGTGGGAGAAGGCCCTGATGCTAATTCGGAGGGTGGGGAGATCTGATTTGTCTGCTTCAGGCAACGACTTGGGCAGCCCTGGCTTCCTAGGGCCCAAGGGGGTTTTTCTCAACGGTCCAAACTCTTCCCGCATGAGACAGAACCGAGAGACCCGCTCGGCAAAGCGTTCTTTTCTATCTCCCCACCCCTCTCCCGTGCTGCTACCTTCTTCTGCATGATCCTCAGCTCATCGCTCAAGTTGACGTTCACCTTCAGTAACTGCTGGATTTTCGCCTCCGAAGCCACCAGGGCGTTTTTAACCTGCAAGTATTCCTGTGCCGTGACCGGTCCGTCGGACAAGTCCGAGTCCAGGCTCTGGAAAACGAAGAGGACAGAAAGACTCCTGTCTTTACACCCGGAGGAGGCGCCGAGGCCAGAGGGCAGGTCTGGGCACAGCAGCCCCAGCAAAACGCGAGCCGGGAAGGGGGGCAAGGTGCTTAGGAGTAGCTGTAGACCAGGATCCTTTTTGCAGGAAAAGTCCAAGGCAGGCAACCACAAGAGAACTACAGAAGCAGGACTGAGAAAGGGTCTGGGTCTGTTTGCACGTTCCACTAAAAAAGCTGCTCTTTGGGGCTACACCCGGAAGTGCCCCCCCCTTCTGCCCAGGTCCAAATGCAATTATGTGGCCACCGAATTGGCAGAGCAGGGGTGTCGAACATACGGCCTGTGGGCTGGAACTGGCCCCTGCAGGGCTCCTATCTGGCCTCCCTCCTGCTTCCTGCATCGCAGCCTGCTTTTGCCCAGCTCTCTCCAGCGTCCTGCTTCCAGGGGAGAGGAAGAAAGCCAAACCTCCTTTCCCTTGATTGGATGAGGGCTCCTCCCCCTTCTCCAGTGAGGGGGAGAGGGGGAGAGGGGGAGAGGGGGAGAGAGGGAGAGAGAGAGAGAGAGAGAGAGAGAGAGAGAGAGAGAGAATATCCCTCTGCTCTTTTTCAGCTTC